AAGTCTCCTATGAATTGTGTTGGGTTCAATAAGATCTCCCCGATTTCTTCTTTATCCCAATGAACAGAGGCCCAAACTACTTGATCTCTCTTCATGAAAGAGACAGTCCTTCCGTACCTGGTGTAAGTCTAGTGAAGTTTCCCCACACTGCTCCCAATGCCAGTGTATTTTTCCTGAGATAAGGGGTCAAGAACTGTTCACAGTATTCCAGCTGTGGTCTGAACAGCACTTTTCATAGCTTCAGCAAAACCTCTGTGCTTTTATGCTCCATTCCCTTTTAAATAAAAGCTAACATCCCATTTGCCTTCCCTAGTACCACTGAAAATAAATGTTAGCATTTTCTGATCCATGGAAGTGCACTCGTAAATCTCTTTGTTCCCTAACTTTCTCCAGTCTTTTTCCACTTAAGTAAAATTCAGCTCCTCTATTCTTCTTGCCAAAGTGCATAACTTTACATTTCTCCAAATTATATTCCAACTGCCAAGATTTTGCTCGACCTGCCTAAATCCCTTTGCAGGGATATTCCCAACATTCACTGTTCCAAGGTTTGTCTGCTTTTGCATTCCCTTCCTGAATTTTTTTTTCCCCACATCTCCTAAGGTATAAACCATACTCTCTTTCTTTCTCTATCTGGCTCTTCCCATTTGGTTCCAACCTTTTACCATCTCTGCCCCCCTCCACACGCCCAACACTTGCATTCTGCTATCTACCATTGATACCTGTGGCTGAATTAAGTTGTGGGGCTGCTCACGATGTATGCTCATATCAGAAACAACAGCTTATCGCTATCAGGAAAGACCTTCAGAGAAAGGGTTTCCAGTGTCAACAGAAAGAGGTTTGGAAGGGTGAAGAGGTAGTGACAGACCAACATTTAACTTTGCAAATTACAACATGTATATTGTTGTAAATAGGGATCGTCTCAGGGAGACAACACAGTGTGGAGCTGGACGAACACAGTAGGCCGGGCAGCATCAGAGGAGCAGGAAAGTTGACTTTTCGGGTTGGGACCCTTCTACAGAAACCACCGCTTGGCAGAACAGATTCCCCCTTGTTACATTGGCTCCCAACTTCCTTCTTATTTTGGTTTCACTTGAAATCTGCGATTTCTGAAGAAGGATCCTGACCCGAAATCCTGCTCCTCTGAAGCTGCCTGGCCTGCTGTGTTCCTCCAGCTCCACAATGTGTTATCTCTTGACTCCAGCATCGGCAGTTCTTACTATCTCATGGAGAACTACACTGCCTAACTCAGACTAGTCATGCTGAGTTTAAAGACGTAGAGTGTATAAGTGCGCTCGACCTGTGAGTAGAGGAACTATGCTTTCAGACAGGAAAAAAAAAGACTCCAGTAAAATTATATTAAAGCCAATTGTTTCAACTATTGTTTTACATATCAGTATACATTCTTTTCCCAATACTGTGTACATCCAATGTGGCAGGATATCCTGACTCCGGACCATTTGCCAGTTCTTTGTTCAGATGTTGTGGATTTAGCAGTGGTGCTATTTATTAACTCAGGCACATTGCTCCTTTCTTGGCTGCTGGTTTTATTTTAAGTCATTCCAGTAACCGTTAGGAAGCCAAATCAGTCCAGTCTGAAATCCTGCCACCATGAAATGCAGACTGGAGACAGGAATCTGGACTGAGAGGAATCTGGATTCCGCTATGTAGTTTCCATTTGATTTGATTCAGTTTTGTAAAAGAAATTGATGAAAGGCAGGTCTGTCCAATAAATGGCCCATCAGACTAGAACAGGTGGCAACCCCCTGGGCAGGGGCAGAAGCAATGGACAATGTGAGGAAAACTGGCAAATACAGTGCCATTTTTTTAAAATTTAATTTTGAGTTGGATACTGGCTTACTTGGTGACTAAGGAGATATATTGGCAGCTTACAGACAGACGCGTGTGCCTTGCAGAGGTCAGATTTCAGATGATGCCAGTCCTGATCTGACCTCCAGAGCATACACTAACCCACTGCCATCCTCCCCTTATGAGCTCATTTCTCTTCCTCCATCAGTGCCATGCTGTGTCATGTTTCTCGTGTGTCTCTCACTCTACCCACCACTTGGCAGAACAGGTTCCTCCTCGTTACATTGGCTCCCAACTTCTTTCTGATTTTGGTTTCACGCGAAATCTGCCTCAGAGTTAATTTGCCTTCATCCCTAGCAATCTTGGAGAAATGACAGCCTTAGATACATATAAGCTGTCCAATCTTCGAGTCAAGAATGTCAGTGAAATGAGAACTGATCCATTTCTGTGACTAGTCGGTGTTTGACTGCATTTGGAATATTGTGAGCAGTTTTGGGCCCTGCATCTAAGGAAGGGATGTGCTGGCATTGGAGCACATTCAGAGGAAGTTCACAAGAATGATCCTCGGGATGAATGGGTTGTCATATGAGGAGTGGTTAAGGACTCCCGGTTCCGTACACAATGAAGTTTAGAAGGATGAAGGAGGATCTGATTTAAACTCAGAGAATACAAAAGAGACCTGAACAGAGTGAAAGCGGAGAACATATTTCCTTTAGTAGGAGACCAGGGCTCGATGGCACAACCTCAGAATGAAGGGATGACCCATTCGAACTTAAATGAGGTGGAATTTCTTCAGCCAGAGGGTGGTGAATCTGTGAAACTCAATGTCACAGAGGGTTGTGGAGGCCAAGTCATCGAGTGTATTTGAGACAGAGATAAGTTCTTGAATAGTGAGGGGATCAAGGGTTACAGGGAGAAGGCAGGAAAATGGAGTTGAGAAATATATCAGCCATGATCAAATGGCTGAGCAGACTCGATGGGCCTAATGGTCTAATCCTGTTCCTATATCTTATGGTTTTATAGCCTTATTTCTCCTTAATCTCCGTCCAACAACATTCCAGCATAGAAAGAAGGCACTGAGCCTTTGTTTCTATCCTGGAGCCAGCTACATATTTGAGCTGAGATAGTAGGAACTGCAGATGCTGGAGAATCTGAGATAACAAGGTGTAGAGCTGGATGAACACAGCAGGCCAAGCAGCATCAGAGGAGCAGGAAGGCTGACGTTTCGGGCCCAGACCCTTCTTCAGAAATGGGGGAAGGGAAGGGCGTTCTGAAATAAATAGGGAGAGGGGGGGAGGCGGATAGAAGATGGATAGAGGAGAAGATAGGTGGAGAGGAGACAGACAGGTCTGTCTCCATTTTTCTGAAGAAGGGTCTAGGCCCGAAACGTCAGCCTTCCTGCTCCTCTGATGCTGCTTGGCCTGCTGTGTTCATCCAGCTCCACACCTTGTTATCTCTACATATTTGAGCCACTTATTTTTGTATCTGGCATACAGATAGTTCTGGAAAAGATTCACCCTGGACTCAAAACATTAACGTTATTTCTCTCTCTATCCTGCTGGCTTCTCTAACACTCTGTTTTCGAGTGATGAGCAAATAAAGCAGAAGTGACGTGAGCAAAAATTTTTCTCACACAGTGAGCAGACTGGGTACGGAACATACTGGGGTCTGAATGGTGGAGCAGGTTCAACGCAAGCATTCAGGAGGGCAGTGATTTTTAGATAGCAATGGCATGCAGGGATATGGGGAAAAGGCAGGAGATTGGCGCTAGACAAGAGGAGAGATCCAATGTCCAGATAACAAAGCCCATGCAGACACGGTGAGCTGTAATAATTCCGTGATGCTGTTTGCTACTGACAAGTACAGTGTTTCAAAACCAGCAACATCAGGATTGGGACTTTGTCAGATTTTGGATCTTGTCAGGTTTCAGAGTCGGTTCAGAAAGGTTCATAGGTCGCTTGGAGCTCAGATCATTTGTTGCTCATGCTTAATTGCCCAAGAAAAGATGATGAGCGGCATTGTTGCTGACCGAGCCATTCCACTGTGCTCCAGCTTGAATAGACACACCCCTCAACCACTTTCACAGGCCCCTGTCCAACCTCACTCTTGTTGGTCTCCCTTCCTATCCCTCTCTCATGCATTAAAACCCTCCACAAAGTTGTCACTTTGAGGCTTGCGGCAAAGATCAATCCTGCTGCCTTCAATTATTCCCTGCAGGAAAATATCACACTTGTTCAAATATCTGTCTGCACTCTCTTTATGACCATTTCAAACAGATGTCATCAACTGCCCAAACAGGAGCAACAGTTATTTTTCTGATTCACCCTTTATAATAAACCTCTTAAAATCTCTGCTCCAGTGAGCAATGGTCCCAAATGTTTCATAGAATCTCTATCGTGTGGAAGCAGGCCATTCAGCCCATCAGTTCCGCACTGACCCTCCAAAGAGCATCCCAACCAGACCCTTACCCCCTACCCTATCCCCATGGCTAATCCACCTACCCTGCACACCCCTTCTGGCCAATCCAGCTAACCTGCATGTCTACCCCAGGGAAAGTTGTCTCCCCCACTCTCTGTTGCACCTTCTTGTCGGGTGACAGTCAACGCAACTGCTGATGTGGAGTGAGAAAGCATAGGATCCCGAAAGAGCAGATAGAAGCCATTTGGCCCATCAAGTCTGCACTGACCTCCAAAGAGCATCACGCCGAGACCCACAACCCACCTGAACCCTGTAACCCTGCATTTACCATGATTAACCCACGTTAGCCTGCACATCCCAGAATGCTACGGGGCAATTTAGCATGGAGTTAGATGTAGTTCTAATGGCTAAAGAAATCAAAAGTTTGGGGAGAAAATGGAAACAGGATATTGAGTTGGATGACCAGCTGTGATCATACTGAATGGCAGAACAGGCTTGAGGACCTACTCCTGTTCCTATTTTCTAAGTATTACGGAGCATGACAACTCACTGTGTAGAGAGACTGTCTATTTACATTGATTAATCCAGACAAACAGGAGGGTTATGTCAATATACAATGCTTTTCTTTCATAACTGTTATAATAATAATGGAGATGATAAGATCACACCTTTCAAATCTGCGAGCTTTATAAATAAATTTACATAAAAAGACATCTCTCTTCAGAAACAAGAGAGTTGAAACGAAAGGTCGGGCATGAGAAGCTCTAGGCTCTTACCTTGGGCTGGATCGGGAGGTCCGAACTCCAGAGCGTACCTCAGGATGAAGTAGTTATTCCACACGTACAGCATGTTGTCCCGTGGGTTGTAATCCACAGCTGCTACGTGCTGGTAGGGATTGGGAAAGGGAATGTCAACGTACTCCTCTCGCCTCAGGTTGGTGTTGTACGTGTAGTCTATCGAGTTCTTGCCTGTCTCGCTCTCGTTCTCCTCGTACACCGAGCGCACGACGTACAGGACGCCGCAGATCATGAAGGCGTTGGAGGCTGACCTTTTGTCGTACGAGGTGTACCAGGTGCCCTCGAAGCGCAGAGTGTAAGGGTTCAGCTGGCTGACCACCATCATGCCGTTGTTCTGCTCGGTGGCGTAGATGACCCACAGGCCGTTCTCGTCCACCGCCAGGTCGATGTCTGACTTGCCGCCCCAGCGGTAGGGGGAGGTGTCGTGGTAGTTGGCGCTGGCGATGATGGCCTCCCCGCTTTTGATCCGAGTCCTTAGGTCATACTTGACAATGTTCCTCGTCCGCTCCTTATTGAAGAAGACCGCCCCGTCATAGACCACAAACCCGGTGCCGTCGACGCGGTGGGGCAACTTGTAAGTGGTCGTGTGGCGCCCAGAGACAAAGTCACTTAGTGTGGCGTACTCCATCAGGGTGTCTGTGCGATACGGTGTCCACGGCATGTAATAAATCTTGTCCCCAGCCTGCAGGGGGTCCTTACACCAGGCACCAGATTGCTGCTCAGCCTCAGTGATGTAGGCTGACTCCACAACCCCTTTCAGAGTCCCAGGGCAAACAAAAACTAACATGGAGGAGTGAGAAAGGAAACAAAAAAAAACAGAAATCAATTGACATCTGGAACGCACAACAGATTGACAAACAACTGCTTGTATTTCTTTTCTTTGAAAATGGCACCTTGCATCTGAAAAAAATTAACCATTTTCCCAACACCAAAATATCGTAAATACATTTGTGCATTGTTCGGTTCAGAAGCAAAACTGGAGGGAAGGGAGAGTGACAGGAAATCACGGGGAGAGCAAGGTGATGGGAGAAATGAAGGGGATTGCTGGGGAGGTTAAAGGTGGCAGATCGAGGAGAGAGTAGTTGATGGGGAGGGCAAGGTGAGGCAAGGAGGGTGAAGGGTTTTACACCAGAAAACTGGAGCTGGAAAGCAGAGTAGAGAGCAAAAAGATGACAGAAGCTTTGCATGAGGTGAACACTGCTAAACCAAAGGCATGCTATGGAGAAAGATCTGGAAGCCAGGCAGATGATGCCGACTGACACAACAAAGCATTTATGGGTGTGAGGAGGAGATTTCCACCAGTAGACCAGCAACTGCTCCCACCACCTTGTGACTGTGTCATCTGGCTACCTCAATGAGACACAACCTGACCCAACATCCTCTACATTGAGTGCCTGTTCCAGTCCCATTTCCCTTGAGGAACCAGAAGATGCAAGGAGGTGCTGGGGGAAAGGGCAAGGAAGAGGAGAGAAGGGGAAGGAGTCAACATGAGGTTCAATAGAGTCTAGCAACCATAAGCCACAAAAAAAACAAAGATCTGGCTTTGGGACTTTGTCATGTTATTTACCTTTTTGCTCCACTTCTATTTTAAGCATTGGAAGAGAGAATGAAACAAGAGTGCGAGAGAAAAAGAAGAGAGATTAACATGGTTCATCCATCATTGTCAGGTCCGCCATACTTCAACACAAATGTCGAGACAGGACGTGTTAAACTGGCACAGCACCTTCATTCTTGTTAAACCCAGCCACCAGCACCTGCATTCTTATAGCACACTGAGCGGGTTTTATCACCCATTGAGCTTAGGCAGACGGCTGTGGGTGACGTTAGACGTATAATAGAAAATGTCTTGTGATGGTTATGGTTTCAAAACTGGTAACATCAACGAATTTTTGCAGCATCACTTTGCACAGCAAGAACTCCATTAACTAGACAAACTCATAACCAATACCAATTCACTATGTCACCACTGATGGATGTACGTTCTCAATGTAATAGTCCCAACTTCCCTTAGTGAACAAGCTCTTCAGCCTTAAGTGCAATTGAAATCTAACCAATTTGGTTTCCCTTTCAGCTGATTGACTAGCTTTGGATTAATTCATCAGGTATTCACTTCTTATTTGGAAAGGCTGGTGTAGCTAATAGCTTTCTTGTGGCAGTGCAGTGCATTTCTCAAATCATGGGAGATGGAAATTAAGTCCAACTGAAAAAAGAGAGTCAAGTTAATGCAAGGTCACAGTATTGATAACATCCTCTCCTTTTGTTTTCTATAGAACAAGTTTAACGATTTGACGACTGAGGTTGGCTAGTATTTGCAATTCAAATGATAGAAGCCATGATCAAAGCTGTTCTCCTCCATATATTCTCCCCCCGCGGATGAAAAGCAAGCTGGTGTCAACAGGGGTCAGGAACCTGCACCAAGCAAAATCCATTGTTTTCAACTGACCAGAATACATCAGGCATTTCGAAAAAACGCCTCAGCTAGCAAGTCTGGGGAACAGTCAAAGACTTTGGAATCACTCAAACGTGTGCATCTCAGTGGAAAAGCAGAAAAACTTAAAATGCATTTAAAACTGAAACATAATTTGAAAAGTTATTCTCGTCTTAATGGTGCCAGGTTGCAGTGAGTTACAGCTCCATGTGGCATCCCTGCACCACTGTATATATATACACACACACACAC